CTTCTGGACATGAAAGATGTTTCGCCACTTTTACCGGCTCGTCGTTGCAATAATATTATATGTAGTATTGCACTCCTTGATATCGTAACGCTGCAGTTCGGCAGGAGCAAAATATGATGCATTAAATACGAAATCTTTGCAATTAATCTATTTCATCCATCGTTTATGCCGTCGGGTTAGGGGCAACAAAGTCATAACATTTTTCAAAGGTTATGCCTTTTCGATACTCGGATATGATCCGTGGCTTTAATGCGAAAGTCACGATGACCTGAGACACAGCATATGCATCTAATGCGTCTATGCTTTGATTGTTCCTTTAATTATTCGCTCTTAGCGTAGTCCTCTCTCTAACGTACGCCCTAAGAGCCTCTCCTTTGTCGTTCTGACCATTATTAATAGAAAGGCAAAACTTCATATGTACTAAACAAATGACGTAGTTCATGGTGTGCAATTCGTGCTCAGCCTTATGACGTTCAGTTAAGATATTTAAGTACTGACTTCGTGAAGAGTACTTCAAAGTAACGGAAAGCTTTGGGCTTTATTTTTTGCTTCGTTTGGCTTGAAATCAATTAACCAGTGGATTAGCACATTCACATGACATTTTGAGATGGCCATACTATGCGCAAAGTGTTTTTGATGATTGAGAAGATAAACAGTCTAAATCATAGGCCCCTTTCATCGACTTCACTTGCCGACTTTAAAAGCGGATACTTCGCGTCTGCCGCAACCACAAGAATCGCACATTCGCATTCGAAAAGGCCAAGACTCAGCTAGCCGTTGTCATAAAAGTTTTTCGACGACCGACATCGACATCCAAATTGACTCGCTGTCTCGTAGTCGAGTAAATCGTAAATTCTCTTCAAGTTAACGCGGTTCCGTTTGACCGTCCCCTTCTGTCATCTTCGACGCCTATAGCCACAGCCGCCAGCGTATTAACCAAGTTTACGAGTGTTTAATTGGAACACTGCACAGCATACAACCTTTCAATTAATTTTACAATCGTTTCTGCACGAAAAGTATTCGATCGCTTACGAAGCCGTCTCCGCAATGACGATGGACTGAAAGAAGGCAAGGGGAAGGGGAAGGGGAAGGAGAAGGAGAAGGAGAAGGAGAAGGAGAAGGAGAAGGAGAAGGAGAAGGAGAAGGAGAAGGAGA